AATATAAACATTCAGTGAAATTTTCATGTATCTATAGTTATTCGTTTATGAATAACAACAAAATAAGGAAATCGCTACATGAGAAATCGAGTGAACATCCAATGTTGTAAAAATTTGAATTTAAAACGCTCATAAAAATTTAATTTGACTGTCCGGTAGAGATTTTTTTATTGATAAAGGTAGACAAACTTATGAGTAATCTTGTATTACATTTTCAAATCTTAGATTTAAAAAGAAAAATTTTTACGAATTCTTAACTCAAAATAATTTGCTAATTTTCGTGATTTTTCCATATTTTGTCAATTTTTGAACTTTAAATGCTTATAAAAAAAAACTGTGACTAACGATTTTTAATATTTTTCATCTGATTTTGAAACAATATTCTAGGAGCCTTCTATTAAATTTTCAAGTGTTTTTAACCAACAAATACAATTTTATTGATATTTCTAGAAAAAAAACTAAAAAAAAATGAAAATGTCCCTAAACAGTTCAAAATAAATCAAAATATTTTGAAAATGTTATCGTGTATTGCAAATATAAACAATCAGTGAAAATTTCATGTATCTACGGTCATTTGTTTTAAAGTTACACCAAAAACCAAATTCAATTTTCTGAAAAATCGATTTTGCGTAAAAATTCCCGTTTTTCCTTAATTTTTCTTTTGTTTTTCTTGGCGCTTTTGAAAAGTACTGGGAATTTTGACCTCCCCAATGCACCAACGATATTCTCTTTCCAATCGAACAAGATACTGAAGTTGAAAATCGAAGCATTATTTCGACTACTTATCGTGTACACAGACACAAAAATAAAAAAATTATAAATTAAAAAAAATATATAAAAACACACATCATTGTAAAATCAATACATTCATCGTTTCACTCAGAATCTAAAATATAAAAACACACATTATTGTAAAATCAATACATTCATCGTTTCACTCAGAATCTAAAAGATAAAATTAAAAATAATAAAGCTATTTCTTGCCAGCCACATAAAATTATAGTTTCAATTATCGGTATTAATCTTTTTCGATTTAAACTTATTTGTGCAGCACGCGCTGAATCTAATTTTTGTGCAATATTTTGCCGATTTTTTGAATAGATAGCTATAAAATTATTACCTCGTAAAACGTTGGTTTTATGAAAATCGTTTTTAGAATGTTCACTAAATACTTCAATTGCATGTTTCCAATTATTAAAAATGTTGAATACTAAAGAGGAAAGTTTTTGATTATTGCCTTTATACCTCCAAATTCTTGACCAAATATTACACAGTATTTACATAGGGCACCACCATTATCAATTGTCGAGTAAACAAGCCATGGAAAACGTTCAAACCAGTTAAATTGGAATTTTTGTTTTTTTTTTGAAGTTGTGGATGTTGGAAATACATAATTTTTATCTGGCATCCAAGGAGAAGTTAAAAATTTTAATTTTTGTTCATCACACACATTTTTATTCAAACAGTAACTAATATCGTTGTTTTCAACCTCAATTGTTTCGTTATAGTTTGAATTTAACCCATTATTTTTCTGATCAGATGATAAGTTAATATCTACTTGTGTTTGGCCAGTGGGGACATCATCAGTCTAAAATAAATAAAGTAGTAGGTACTTTTTAATTGGTCTATACTCTATACTATAGGTATATTTTATATAATAATAATCAAATAAAAAAGTAAATTTTTAACTTACCTTTTTCTCTTTGTAAAAAAATTTTGAAGTTGGTTTCTTTTACTCATTTTTTACAGTTTACGTGAGCACGAACAGCAGTAAAATGAATATTTTACAATTCACACAATATTGTTATATTCTTGTTTCATAATCTTAAATAATTTGGATTTTCTGCGACCGAATTTCATATATATCTAAGTTTATAATATCATCTGTGACAATCACCTTTTATTGTAACTAGTACCTAACCGTATCTATCAATCCTAATCTTTATTACGACGTTGAAATAAAATAAAATGATAAATTTTATCTTATTTTAAATTACTGCTTTAAAGAAAATATACAATTATTATTTAATACAATTTATAGTTAATAAACTATATTCACCACTAAAATGATGTTTCTACTTTTAAAAATGTCGTGGGGGGGGGGTGTCCGGACCCCCCCCCCCCCAGTTACGTCTTTGGTCCTGACTGACTGGCCGATTCATCATCGCTTAGCCTTTTTTGTACCTATATAAATGGTTGCAGTTGAGGGGTGGAAACCCAAAACGTACTATTGCCAAAAACTGTTTTTTTTACTTTTTCAGGAGAAGCGATTTTCTGTATCTTAATATTTACAATAAAAACAAACCATTTATAAAGAGACAAATCTTTTTAAATTTTGAAAGATTTTGAAGAAAAGGTTTTTTTAAATTATTTATATTTAAAACGATCCAAATGTGTTAAATATTAGTTATATTTGTTTTTAAATGTAATTTAAAAGTTAATTAAAATGTTTAAAATTAGTACGGTTTGAATTAACTTTTTTACTTCCATAAATAGTAGATATAACTATATAAGTATACCTGTATACCTACCTACAACACGGCTAATAGTACCTTTTGTACTATTGAAGTATAGTTAATGATTGGTGCCTATACTTTTAACATGGGCAACTGGGCAATAGTGCGTTTTGATTTTCTAAAATCATTTTTATGTATGGATAAGGCTCGTTTGGGATTCACCACTCATTTTGAAACGCAGATTTTACATGGGATAGTACTTTTTGATGTATTCTGACGACGCCAATCGATTTATCGATGTTTTTTCCATAAGAATCGATATCTACCTAAATTTTTGCAATGGTACCTACGTTTTGGATTTCCAGCCCTCAATTATTTACTCACTCGGACAGCTGATGAGCAGGGGTTAAAAGTGGGGGGACGCAAGAGGACTCAGTCATCCTACCTAAATTATATATGAAACGCTTAAAACTATATGGAGACCTTAGTCTCCTCCGGAATTTTTTCCAACTTTAATCCCTGCAGATAAGGTAAAAGCATGCATCAAATTGTATCCTTTAAATGTCCTCGATTAGAACCTACCTATATTTTAAAATCAAATGTATGTTTGTAGCACATATACTCAAAACTACCATATTGGTTAAAATTGTTTTTAGAGATATCAGAAAAGTTTAGAGTAGTTTAAAAAATAAACAGTGCTAAATCTAATCCGCGACTTGGTACACTGACGCCGATTTGCCCGTGAACTTTGGTAGGTACATTAAAACTGAGATAAACCTATAGTATAGGTATAGTATTTATATATTTTACTTATATAGTATTTGATTTTAATATTTTTAATGTACTTAATACCTTTATTCTTTTATTGAAATTTCATCATATTCTAAAAAATTAGATATATCACTGGAAATAGGTTTGTATAATTTTATTTAAACTTTTATACACATACTATTCCATGTTTTTTTTTTTTTTTTTATTTATATGTTTTTTTATTCAATCTGTTACAAAGAAGAACAATACAATAAGAACAATTGATGGGCTAAAATGTTAAAATAAAAATAAAAAGGCAGATTGGATGAAATGTAGAGGCCTCTCATCGGAGGTACTTCGACAACTATTCCATGTTATAATTTTTTTATTTTTTTGCATTAGAAAGGTTCAAAGATATAACATATCTTTATATCATAGGAATGGGCCAACAAATTTCAAAGATTATTATGTTTTTTCTAAAACTGAAAATCAATGTTCGTCTAAAGTCATGAATGACAAAATGACTGAAGAAAAAGAAAAATCTGAGCACTGGAAAATAAATGTTTATTTCTGGATTGTATAACATTTTCAAAAGAAAATTTAGACATTGGGATCGCTGTTTTTTTAGAACCGGGTATTTAAAGCGTAGTATTTTATATTTATTCATTTTTTCATTGGCGAAGTCTAGTTTTACAGCTACTTACTATATAACATCAAAGGTCTAACATTTATTCAGCTAGTAATTTTATAAAAATTTAATAAAACAAATATTTATCCAAGTTATATGATTTTTAAAATGTTCTTGAGTATTGAATTTGTATGCAATCATAATTACTGTGGTTGTTTAATTATACATAGCTGAATAGGGTATAATGTGAACTCAAATATACTAGTACTGTTAGTTTGTGTGTCTGTCCCGCTTATGATTGGGTGGCATTTCATGAGCTCTATCCTCTATACTCTAACGATAATCATCCTTCCAACATTTAATATACAAATCAAAAACAAAAGAAACATAAATAACTATTAGACGCCTTTATTAAGTTTTGAGATCTTAATTATATATTAAAATACTCATCAACATAAAACAATATTCTATATTTTGATATGAAAGATTCATTATCATCATAGCAACATAAAGCTCCTAAATAATGAAAAAAATAATTGAAAATTCAAACTATTTAGGTATTGTATTGATAAATCACATATTGTATTCACCTACACCAACGCTATTAAAATACAAAGTATGTTGTACTCCAATTATTAAATTAAAATTCTAAAACAGATAGCAAACAATAATTAAAATTTTCCAAGCATGGTATTTTCACAAATTAAATTGATTTGGAATCAAGTTGTGAATCACAATTCACAATTAATAATAAATATTATAGTTAATAACTAAATAGTAAATATGCATTAATAAATTAATAGTTAAAGTATCAACATATTTAAGGTCAATAATATTAATGCCTTTATAGACAAATAATATGGTATTTGTTTTAATATGAAAATCTATTTCAAAAACAATAATTATTGACATGTGTCTTTAATACATCTAGATCAAAATAAATAACTCTGTTTTTTTCCATATAATATTATTGTTATTGTTAGCTATAAGATTTTTACTAGATGCAACATTGTAATGCATGAGGGTACATGATATATAATATGTTTTTATATTAAATTATATTTGGATTATAAATCAATTATAAATCTTAAGCTTAAATAAATTTAACACTTTGGAATATATACAGGAATAAAATGGTTGTCAATAGAATTAACTGAATGTAAAGATCACTTTTTCAAACCTTTTGACAGTGCAAACCCAATTCCGACGATAGCACTAAGGCCCAATGCCAAAGCTCCAGCCACCGCCATTCCTTTGTGTACATCTGAAATAATTTCAAAATAATGATTCCCAACATAACAATACAGTACTATTTTGTTAAATATTTTTTTTTTTTTAATTTGAACATTTAAATAATTTTTAGAACAATCATCATTTAAACATTTTATCAGTGCAGACTAAGATGAGGCTTATTGAGAACAAAAATTGGTCGCCATCTAGAAGTACTCTTAGAGTAAATAATAGTTATAATTTTATTTAATATTGTTTAACTATAAATCTATAATACTTAAGTATTTAATATTAATGATACTATTATTATAATTATTAGGAGGTTTGACATTTATATAGCAATAGAAAGGAACAAAATACATTGATGATAATGATATGATCAAAATAAATTAAACTATTTTCAAAACGTACCAGATTCCATTTTCTTTTGAATTGTGACCAACAAGTTCTGTGCTTGCATATTTCCGGGTTGCATAGTAAGATGCTTTAATAAATTGCAGCGCAGTACTATATTCCTGAAAAATATGTATTAATTGGCATTATAAAAGGCATTTAAAATAATAATAAAATCTCATGAAAACATACTACATGAGTAATGATCAATAAACATAGGATTGTAATATAGGTTTTTTCTGTATTATTTTTTTTATGGATCCATAAAACATAAGGTATCATACTCAGTACTAACTTTAATTCTTGAATTTCCTAATGATAAGTAATAAAGGTAATTTCGTTTGGCATCATCATCATTAGCTTCATGTTTAATCAACTGTTCCAATAATATGAGTCCTTTTCTGATGTCAGCTGGATAATTGCTTCTCACTAAGCACCAAGCATAATGAAACTTTGTTTCTTGAGAAACGGTTCCTGTAGTTAGTTGATTATGATATTCTTTTTCAAATTTCTGAAAATTATAAATAGGTATTTATAATTTTATAAATATATTATACCAATAACAAATTGTAGTTTCTTATTTTCTAACAGACGACAATTTTTTGTTAATATAATATGCATTATATTATAACATTATCAGACGACAAATGTTACAATAAAGTTTCATGACCTTGAACTTAAACCAAATGTAAAATGAAAACTTTAGTTTTAAAATAAAACAAGCCCATAATAAATGTAATGAGTATTGTAGGTATGTAAATTAGGTAAAGTAAGCATTTTCCCATGATGACCAATCGCAGTAGAATATAACCGAGTAGTGGTATCCCATTCCCCCATACTCGATTCTTGTTCATTGTTTATTACATATAATTAATTTATTTAAGTATAACCATATTCAAAACAAATATAGTGTTAATTACAACAAATCTATTTAATTTATCTTTCTTGATAATTTAAGCCAATAAAATATCTATTTCCGCATCAAAGACTAATCCAAAACCCATAAACTGATATAAGCGAGAGGGGAATACAACAGTATTGTATATATTTTGTATTATTGGACTCCAAACCAACTGAGATAATACAAGGAAAACCTTTTATCTAAAATTCTAAAAACTAGAAGTATCTACCTAAGTACTTAAGATCAAAAACTGTAATGACAAATCAGTGTCCGCTAGCAAAAGATTTAGAAATGGCTATATTGAGTGGGCATCGTATAGCGACGGAGAATACAAATGGATAAACAATAAAGACTTACCTCAAGATCTTCCATGGAGACCACATCGCTTAAAACGTCTTCAACGTCCATTTTCTCGAAGGTTTTCAAAATTTTAATCAGCCAACTACTAAAATAAATTTAAAAAAGTTAAAAACGTACGACGTTTACATGCACAAAAGGGTGGCGGCAGACTACTGCGGACTCGTGGAATAAAGATAACTGGGCGGAGTGACAGACCTTTGTAGACGATTTAATCCGATTCTGACGAAATATCAAATAATAGATGTTTGTCGGGTAAATGTATGACGTATTATCTGACTCAATGCTTGGAATTACACAGTTACACTATTATATTATTATTGTATATAGTTTGATAAGCCAGACATACACATACAATATTGCCGATGATAATAATATATTGTAATCAAATCACAGATATAAAATATAATTTTATATCTGTGAATCAAATAGTTTTTAGCACGGTTGTATATCTACAACCATGGTTTTTAGGTAGTACGTTTTAGTGAGATTTCAAATTCTGAAGATGTCAAAACGATTGGATTGTATTATAAATAATAAATAATGAGTAATAAAATTATAATAAACTTATAATTAATAATCGAAATTAAAAAATAATATTACTTATTATTAGGCAATGTATTTTGTAGCATTGACATATTTTGTATATTTTGTGTGCGAGTGAGACAACCACAACAGTCAACAATTACCAACGCATAACTACTCAGCAGCTGATCGCGTTGTTATCAACACTGTTAGTGTTATTGTAAAGTGTAAACACAGAATAACGTGTAAACAATATAATGCATATATGTTACGCATAGGCATAGATAATAATATATTAATATCTTATATTAGTTATATACTTATATTCTTATAATCTTCTTTTTATAGTAACTATGGTCATTGCCCATTGGTCAGTGTGTCGCCACACAGACTTCTATATAGTAGTGTAGACGTGCAAGTGCAGTTTGCACCACTGCACCCTAATCCCCCCCCCCCAAATGCCGCCACTGGTTGAGTACACAGAGTTATATATAGGTAGTAGCATACATGATATATTACATGGTACTATTATTGTTCTATGGTAATATTGAAGTCTGACATTTAGTACCTTTTTTGTATAATTCTTTTATTATCTATGATGATGTTACGACTTAGTACTTTCTACTTCTACAAAACATCACGAATCACGATGTATCTTCTATTCTTCTGTAAATCATGAGTAATTGCATATGTAATTATAATATTCATATAATTGATTATAAAAGGGATTATAAATTATAATATATTCGTATTTTTATAATATACATACGGTAACAACCTAGTCCACAGCCCAGTAGTCCACATGGCACAGACATAGATAAGAACATTATAAAAGGCACAGATATAATTTTATGTATTATAAAAGTTAAAAAAATATACAACATTGTCAACATAGTGATTTTAGTAGAATGGGTGGGCTGCCTGAAGTTGGCCCATCCGTGAATAGGAGGGGAAGTAATAACTAGCAAATTCTGGGAATGGACTTGCAAATAATTACTCTCAAACTTTTGGCATACATTTTGAACGGATTGTGTATTTGTATGAAGTCGGTGGACCAACTTCATGGCCGTTGATTTTGTACTACACTATACGATTGAACTATATAGGTAGCTCGTAGCTCGTATAGTCGTATATAATAGTTAATAGTATAATATATAGACTTGATCACTATTTATGGTTTAGATTAACCGATTAGGTCTATTACAAATTCGTAATTTATTACAAATTATTATTATAATATAATTAATTAATATATTTTAGACATATAATATTTGTTAAATGGCAAATAAATTGAGTCTTAAAAATCGATTAAATTCATTAAAAATATAAACGTCGTTCACTATTTATGAACGTGAACATGCGTTCATAAACGACGTTCTTTCCAAGCAATCCAAGCACTGTATATACCGTATATATAACAATATGTGAATATTAGATTTTAATATTTTATCTTTTTACTAATTTATTTTTCACACAAAAGACAAAACTAACATATCAATATATCATACATTCATACGGAGTGATAGGTATTATACATTTTATATACAATGTTCCAAATTGCATATTTCATCAGTTTTATTATGACCTTTTTTACCCCGAAACTTTTTTTCCATTCACCTGTTTTATTTGTTTATGTACCTATCTCCGTGGTCGTATATAATTAAGTACCTGTCTGACACGTAGCTAAGAAGTAAGGGGTATCTTGGGGTGGCCCAGCCACCCAAAATATTTAAAGGCCGCCCCAATGGCCACTCCATTATATTGTTAAAAATTAAAATACCCAAGGATAAAATAACTGAGTAAAAAAATTTAAACCATATTCAAAAATTTCTATTATGATATTTGTTATTATTACATAAATATCTTCAACACTCTGTTCTCTAGACGATTAAAAATAATTTGTTATAATATGTACATAACAGCTTGTAATCGGATGCAATCGATTTTTGAACAGCATTGAGCATGGTCTGATTGCCAGAACTTAGAATAGAAATCGTTCATCGTACATCGTCGTGTTAACGTAGGACACAATACATCTATATTATTATTAACCTGCATTCTTATTTCATTAATTCTACATTTCCCATCACGGCATCATTGCTTTGTTATCGATGGTTAGCTAATAGCTTGGTACCAAGTTAATTATTATGCATATATATACCTATATATATATATATAATATATTATATAGGCATACTGCGCAATAATGTAAGTATAGTGGGTACTATAGGTACTATATAATATATAGGTACTTAACCTTTTTAATATTTATAATCCATAAAATATAAATATAAATATAATCGCCGATTTCCTACTATAATCAACTATAACAAATAATGCTATGATAATATATAGATACCTACCTATAAACTTAATACCTATTGTACTTTTGTTGCTATAATATTATATTTAAAAGAGAAAGATTTAGGTATGTTACTTCATAACCTCAAATTTAAATGAAAAAATAGCTTCATCGGAGCACCCAGAATCTAAAATTATATTAAAAATAGGATAAACATAGTTACTTATGAATTAAATTAGTGGATAATAGCCGGGGTGGGGGAGATAAAAGTTGTTCCCTCGAAAAAAAATAATTATACTAATATTATACAATACTATAGATTATAGGTTATTTAAATGGGTATTTTATTGTACCGTGTAAAACAACAAAGATTTAAATATTAAAACTAGATAAGAAACTAAGAACTAGTAGACTCCAAAGTATATTAAGGGCCGTTCTTACAATGTCCGGTAAAGTGTCGGTTAACGCTAACCGACTGATAACAGATTTTATTACCGGCAGAATTCTTCCGGTTAAGTGTCGGTTAACTTTAACCGGACGTCGTAAGAACGGCCCTAAATGGGGTTTCATCTTCATAAATACCTACCTATTAAGTACCCATTCTGTATGTTTACTCAACTAGGGTTTTAATTAAAGGAAAATATTAAATAATATGGTATAATAAACTTATTCTAACCTCTGACTTCTATACTATAATAACCACATAAGTACATAATATATAGCATTAATAAGACATCAAAACAACTATAAGTTGGTAACTACATATTATATTAGTTGCCTATATTAGGTAGTACCTACCTATCTATAGATAAGAAATATATTATGAGTTATTTTAACCTCTACAGATAACAGAACATGTAGGTAGGTAATAGATAAAAATGTGAATGTAAAATCATTAAAAACCACAAACGCTATATCGTCTGAAAGTTGAACATTTAACTTGTGACCTCTATATACAATAGGTACACCATATACAGTACACAGTATACTATGACGTAGGTGTACTATTAATACTTAATAGTATATGTACGTTATTATATAATATATAATATTATGTATTTATGTGCCACTAATCATTTTAGCCGTATATTATGCCCAAATTGAAATTTTGTTCGTAGATTGTATTGATAGATAGCAATTATAGATGTCAATTATTACCTATATTTGTCTATTTTTTAAGAAGAATGATGTGTTTTGTGTATTGTAGATATACTAGATACCCAAATCTGGGCACTAACTAGTTAGAAAGTTACTAGTTATGGTTTTAATTCAGCAGGAGAGGACTTTTGGTTTTTTTTTAGTTGATTGTTGATCGGATTTTTTGGGAGGAGGGTGGTTTTTGCGATGTTTTATCTAATAGAGATATTTTGATTTGATCTTGAGTACCATTATTTTATATGTTTTCATCTTGGTAAATGGAGTTTGGTAAAAATGTTAGATTGTCTTCTATTCTTCTGCAGTTGTGATATGTTGTTGTATCGATTCCAGGGTTTGTTGGAGCTAAAATGTTAAGCAGAGGAATTGGAGTTTCATCTGTCCATTCCATATGGGTTTTTGCCTTTTGGGCCTTCTTTGATAAATGATGGACTTTCGGGAAGTTTAATATTTTCTAACAATACAGGGCTTTGTTCTTCTTCGAAAGATGTGAGCTGATGTGTTTGTTATTCTTATGGTTTGGTGACTGAGACTTTTTAATTAATTTATATTTCAAACTGTGAACTCATGCCCTACCCCCCAGAAACACGTCCAGTTATAACTTATAAAAAGTTAAAAATAAAAATAATAATATAGGTACCTAACTAGTATTGTAGTATAAGGTCCATGCGGTACCTATATATTATTATTATTATTATTATTATTATTATTATTTAATTATTATTATAACTTGGTACTAGTATTAATGTATTATACTAGGTACACGTTCAATGTGTAAAAAAAAGTAATTAAATAAATCAAAATAAATAAAGAAAATAATATATTATCGTATATTCAATAGAGTAAACTATATAGTAAAGAATATACTAATTTACTAAGTGTAAAAATGGCTAAGTAAAAAAAAAATGAGATCTTTAGCACTATAAAGATGTGATATCATGAACAAATGCTAAGTATATTGAATTTATAACTATTTAAGTAAACTTATTTTGTTTCAATAATTTATTTACTTGGCGAGGAATTATTTCTTAAGTGTGAAGAACAAAATAATAAAATGGCGAAAGAGTAAGGACTATTAAAATATAACTTATTATTATTACTATTTATATACTAATCTATATAATATAAGTGTACATTTTGAATACATTTTATAACTCAAGATCCACCAAACCGATTTCAATTGAAATTTTAGTGCATATTAAGATTGATATGTAGATGGTTTTTGTGAAGTTTGTACGCTGTGCGATAAGTGGTTCCGGAGTTATGGCCTCTTAAGTGCACACTAAATAATAAATAATAATAATAATAATAAAAAATTAAGTTGAGGATTAAAATAATAATAGTTTATTGTATATTGCTTGCTATTGGTTACGGGCACCTACCACCTTTGTTCATTCGTATCATTATTTTTTGTCAATATATTATATATATATTCTAACTATATAAATGTGAAATGAAAATCTTTGTACAGGGTCAACTCTGGAACTACTTATCAGATCTTCTTGATTTTTTTTAAACGAAAGAGTATATCATGGAGAAGGTTATTATGAAACAAAATTTTAGGAAAATCCACCGGAAAAATAGTAAATCTGGATGTCAAAAATACAACAGTGACGCAACAGGTTAGGTTAGGATTTTATATTAATTGATTATATT